GTTGTGGCAGCCGAAGATGTCTGTTTGGAGACCACCTGCTTGTCCACCGCCGGCCAGGAGCTGAATTTAGAGGATTTGTGGTTATCTTCCCGCTGGCTCTGACTTCTCGCGTCAGTGCTAACCTTATCGAGTATTTCTTCGGTGACTGACTTTGATTTAATCTGGAGAGGATTTTCTCTGTGTTTGCAGCTCTTTTGTGTTCTCGACTTTAAGAAAAGGAACAGGGGTTATAACCTAAATCAAAGTATTTCCATGTTGGTTTTACTTTCCTTGTTATTTAGCGATCTGAGCTGAAGCGTTCTTTGTTTGGGGGGGGAAGGAAAGGATTTTGTGCATCAGGGCTGCAACACAGAGCCATAATGTGGTTATTTGAGGTCAGTAACCACATCAAAACCGGGCGTACGGATCTGTCCCCTCGGTCTGTGACAAAAGCTTTCCAGCTGCAGTGGCAGGTCTTGCTGCTGAAGGGAAGCAATTTCCTCTGCTAGTGGTTACTCTCTTATTCTTGAATTATTTAAGTTATACTGAAAGACTTCTGACCATCCCTGTTTTCTGCTTAGGGATACGTGGGTGGTTTTGTATTTCTCATTGACGTGGAAACATTAGAACAATCTTTGCTGTCTCAATGGGGCTTTGGAACAAAATCCTCTCGCGCCAAAGCCGTGTGTCTAGGAGCAGGGCATCATTAAAATGTCTTCTGGGATTTGCCGTTTAAATACCTTTATTTGCTGCAGAATAATCTTCTGCTTCTGTCTGCTGTGGAGACTCATGGAGAACTTGCAGATCTGTTGTAATCTCAGTCCTCTGTGGTCCCCTCTGCGCATTGATGAGGAAATCCCAGAATCCCAGCATGGCCGGGGCTGGCAGGGCCCTCGGGAGCTCACCCAGTGCCACCCCCTGCCCAAGCAGGCTCACCCAGAGCAGGGGGCACAGGACAGCGGCCAGGCGGGGGTTGAAGATCTCCAGAGAAGGAGACTCCACAGCCCCCCTGGGCAGCCTGGGCCAGGGCTCGGGCACCCTCACAGTCAACAAGTTCTTCGTGACGTTCAACTGGAACCTCTTCTGCTTCAGTTTGTGCCCATTGCCCCTTGTCCTGGCACTGGGCACCACTGGGAAGAGTCTGGCTCCATCCTCGTGACACCCACCCTTGAGACATTTGTATGTGGTGATGAGATCCCCTCTCAGTACTGGTTCTGCTGCTTTAAAGATCCGCTGGTATTGCTGGTTGATGTGCACAAGTGGTGGAGAGGAATCTCCCGTGCTTCCTTTTGAAGGGTTGGTTTTTTTTCCCCTTGTTGTTTCGGGGGAACCTCGGGCAGCGGAACGAGTTTCCTGTAGAAAAAATTTGCAAGATGCTTTACAGTGCAAAATAGAAGCAGGGGTTCCTCATGTTATCTTCCTTTCTGATGGCTTCCAGCTGGCAGTGCCTCCTGCCAGAGGTAAAAGTGGGATCTGCAAGTCAGGGAATAAGTGCCTGAAAAAATTTCACGTGTTTAAGAGTATGCTTTCCCAGGCATATTCTCATGTAAATGTTCATTTTTTTTTTTTCCTGAAGGAAAACATTGGAAAAAAACCCTATAGTAAGTCAATACAAGAATACCACCTCTTCTGAATTGGGTTTTTGACTGAGGTTGCCGTGCTGGGTGCTCCAAATCGTTGTGTGTTTACAGCAGGCAGCGTCGTCTTGGTGCCTCTCCTTTCCGAGTGAGAAAGAAACCCTGCTAGAAAACCCTAAACCTTGGCTGTTTCCATATTGAGTTTCGTTTTCTGGTTTTGTTGCCTTGTTTGTGTGAAAAGCAAGTTCCCTCCCTGGTTCTCTCTCTCATTACCTTCCTGTGGTTTACTGGATCCCAACGGAGGTTGAGAGAACCTTTGCTTGAGGGTTATGCCGAGGGTGGTTTCCTTCTGGGTGCCCTAAAGAAGCTGAGAGCTCAGGTAGGCTATGTGGGTTGAGAGGTGGATTAGTGAAATTCCAAGGTTTTTAATTGGTGATTGTTTTGTTTGTTTGTTTTAAATGATGGCCCTAGCTACAGAATTGCTCTATACTTCTGTTTCACTGTTAGTGGGAGCTATCAATACTTTGTCTTGTTGCATTTTATGCGGTTTTGGTGCTTTATTAATTTAAAATACCGCGTTCAACTTGGTGCAAAGCGCTTTAAGACTTTTAACCTGCAGGGAAAAAAGCAAATGTAGCAGTACAGTTTTTTTTCCCCCCATTAAATGACTTGTAGTGGTTACAAGGGTGTTTCTCTGTTCAGTGTTGCCAGGATGGTAGCGTGAGAGAGGATATGCAAAAGCTACATTGATGGTTTTTAATCTTCCCGGAGTATGTCTCCCATGCAAAACGAAGGGTGTGCCACTATGGCGAACTCTCTTTTCCTGGGAAAAATGATGTATCCGTCGCTCTGGATGTGTATTTAGAGAAAGTCCTGCAGCTAGGTTTAGGTTGGCCATGGGGAACAATTCCTTCCCCTTGGGGCTGTCAGGCACTGGAAGGGGCTGCCCAGGGAAGGGGTCGAGTCCCCAGCCCTGGGGGGATTTAACAGCCGGGCAGAGGCGGTGCTGAGGGCCAGGGTTTGGGGGTGGGATGGCAGGGGTAGGGGAGCGGTTGGGCTGGGGGAGCTTAAAGGGCTTTGCCAACCCAAACCATTCTATGATTCTATGATTCTACTCTAGGTGGACAGGCAGTCTTAAATAGCTGGGCTTAAGCTGGAGCCAGCGGCTTTGCTTTATGAACATATTTAACATGTATGGCACGTGAATGCGTTCAAGAGCAAAGCTGTCTGGGTAATAGAAATAGGATTGTTTAATACGAAGCCTGGCACTTAATCTCCTGTGCTTTTGTTTTCAGATTTGTGCAAATCCCAGATCTGCAGTTTAGCAGGTACCTGTTTTGCCTGCACCTTTTAATTTACATTTGCTTGACTGCGTTGTGATTTGGCATAGCTGGACTAAAAGCTCAGAGTTTGTTCAGACCTTCGTGAGGTGGCGGTGCACGGGCTGAACGTGCGAAATGGGGGGAGCTTTCGGGCCATTAGCTGTGACACTGCGTCTGTGCGCATCCTGGGAGCGACGGTCGCTTCTCTTGAAACGACACGAAAAATAATACCTGGTGGATCTGTTATTAACAGATATAAAAATACCCAGCACTGTATGCGTTTTGGTAATCATCCTTCTTGGTTTAGCAGCCTTTAGGACACTGGGGGGGGGGAAAAAAAAAGGGTTCTGGCAAATTTAGCAATAGGGATATAAGTATTATTCTGTGCCTCCCTGCTGGAGAATTTCACCCCTTGTAACAAAGGCAAGGGAATGGCACGCTTCCCGCTGAGCTGCGGCACCTGGTAAGCTAATGCAGAGGCTGTGATGGGGTTTGAAGTGAAGATGCTGGATTAACTGGGGCGTCTGAGTGAGTCACGTGCTCCGTTTCACCATCCTGCCTAGGATCAGTAATTCCAACAAAAGATTGCTTAAACTGCTCCGGTGAATTCAGCTGCTGCAGCACACAGAGCTCCTGGTCCAAAAATGATAAAGAAAACAGTTGTGAGCCGCGAGGAGCATGGAGGTCTGGAGCTTTTGCAAAGCCTGAGAGCAAAAGTCTTTATCTTCAACCAGATTCTAACAGCAATAAAGGCTGTGATTGCTGCTTCCTATCTCTGTGGTAGCTGACGTGAATTGATAGGAGTTATTAATTGGATAAAATTGTCACATTTTTGGGGGGGAGGGAAGAGGGCAAAGGAAACGCAGCTTTGGATGTTTAACCTTCCATTCTTTATAGGGTCGTGTTTCTAGCTTGGGTGTTACACACAGGGCAGGACACCTGGGGGGGGACCTGACAGGTATTTGTGTCCTTTGAGTTGCTATGATTTAATTTGGTCTCTGCCTCTTAGCAAGCGTGGAAGGGGCTTGCATCTCGGGTCGTCAGGTACTGTAAAATTCTCCTGGAAAAGCCAGTGTCTTTGCAGTGTCTTTAGCTACGTAGATGGTGCTTTGGAAAGCTTAGTGAGATCTGACTGTATGTAACACCGCCCCTTGGAACTTCTGATGGTTCTGGCTCTCAAGTTTGTGGTTTTTGTTTTTTTTTTTTGTTAAGGGGCTTTAGAAGAATCTGATTTGAGGGAAGAGCAAAGGCCTTGTGGTTCGTAGTGTTGGCCAGGTAAATGACTCCAGGGTAGCTAATGTCACTCCATGTTCCACATGAACAGGTAATGGTTGTTCTTCTCTTAAAGTCTTCCGGTGTGATGAAGAGATTGCATCCAGTAAGTGAATATCGTAACATCAGGAGTAATGAAAACTCGACAGCCATGGGACATTTTTTTTATTTTATTTTTCATGCTGTGATTTCCCCTTTTACATATAGACATTTTATTAGACTTACAACCTTGGGGAAATGCTTAGGTTGCTGCAAAGCATTGCAAATGTACTTGTCCAGATCGGTTGTTCGGTTTGTATGTGACGTGCTGTCTAGTACCGAACGGATGCTCTTAGGATTAACGTGGAGTAGTTGATTACAGAAGGGCCTTGTAAAGTTGCTGTAGAAAGCTTTGTGCATGTGTGGGCCAGAATTAGTCTGTTCCTTTATTAGGAACTACAAATCAGATTGTAATAGTTAATCTCTGTCTGTAAGACACCGGCGGCTGTGTTGTGCTGATGATGACCCACAAGTTTGTGCTGCATTTTAAGAGTAAAGCTCAAAAACTGGTGGTGCTTGGTGCTCCTCCTGTGCAAGCATCCCCCTACCCCCAGCCACACAGTGATCCTTCCGTCTTCGACTGCGCTCCGCACCGGACAAAGTGGTCTGGGGAATTGGTAAACCAGTCTTCATGTTTTATTATCCTCTATCCTAAGTAAGCCTCTGGGTTTTTTTTTGTCTTTTCAGTATGTTCAAGCAGATGCTCCTACCAATAAAACACTGGCTGGGCTGGTGGTGCAGCTGCTGCAATTCCAGGAAGATGCCTTTGGAAAACACGTCACCAATCCTGCCTTCACAAAGCTTCCTGTGAGTATTGGGGTTAACCCACTGCTGTGACAGCCGCGTAGTCTGTTCTTCGCCCAGCATCCGCGCTGCTGGCGTGCTTCCAGGTGGTTGGGAGAGCTGTGCTTAGTCTGGAGCTTTTGTTGATGCATCCTCTGGAAGGGGTGACATAGCACACTCCTCCTTAAAAGCAGATTTTCAATGTAGTAAATCTTGTTTTCTATACATTTGGAAGTGGTTTCCTGAACGCTGTGGAAAGGTTTTAATTTCTAGTAAAATTCTAGGTAGACTTGTCAATTTTAAGTCAAATCTGTTGGGACCGATGCATCCTAAACTGAGTGAGTAACGTGCGGTTTCCAACACACACGAGTTTCCGCTGGTTGTTTCTGTTGATCAAACTTCAAACTTGTGATGCTGTCAGTGCTGATAAATGGCTTCACTGTGGTTTTTAGCAGCACATAGTTACCTGGGATAATTTTCCAGTCACTCGGAATATTGGTATACAGAAGCAATATCAACATTTTAAGGGTTGCTTATTTAAAGTTCAAACTTGGCCCATCTTGAGCGGTGGCGTCCTGGTGATTGCGCTCAGCAGTCAGCCCTGTTGGGCTTGGAACCCTGCCTGCCACCTAAAGAGTCTTGTCCAAGTGAGCGTGAAGTCCAAACAGCTGATGGAGGGAAGAGGGATATGGCAAATGGTAAGGACAGAGTTACCAAGAGGATTTTGGTTGTGAAGGGCAAGTTTTGGGATGGCAGGGGGAGGTTAACGGTTGGACTTGTCACTCGGAATATTGGTATACAGAAGCAATATCAACATTTTAAGGGTTGCTTATTTAAAGTTCAAACTTGGCCCATCTTGAGCGGTGGCGTCCTGGTGATTGCGCTCAGCAGTCAGCCCTGTTGGGCTTGGAACCCTGCCTGCCACCTAAAGAGTCTTGTCCAAGTGAGCGTGAAGTCCAAACAGCTGATGGAGGGAAGAGGGATATGGCAAATGGTAAGGACAGAGTTACCAAGAGGATTTTGGTTGTGAAGGGCAAGTTTTGGGATGGCAGGGTGATGTTGACGGTTGGACTTGATGATCTTAAAGGTCTTTTCCAACCTAGACGATTCTATGATTCTATAACTGCAGCATGGTATCAAGCACCCAGCTGGCCAATTTTGGGTAGGTTTTGTGGGCCACGACTGCTGTCGTAAACGCGGGTTTACACCCTGTGGACACCAGCAGGAAGGCCTTTGCTCGTCTTCACCACAGAATGCTTACTGGGAACCTGAGCTCGTGCAATCTAGGATTCTGTCTAGAAGTACTAAGTTGGAAATATTTATAACAGATTACAAGATCATAAACTGAAGTTGTTCTGAAAACCATTGGAAGTGCTCCTACCTTTGGTCCACCGCGTACAGAACACTTTTCTTATTTGATGGTGGTTTTTTGTTTCCCTCCCAGACACTTTGCTTATCTAACTCTCTTTGTGAAGAGTGTGAATTCATGCATGTTTTCTCCAGATGAAGGGTTTTCAAACTTGCTTATTGGGTGAGTCTCTTGGTGCTTAGGAACGCACGCAGGTGCACCACAAGATGCTGTTGAGATGTAGCTCACCATCTCTTCCCTTCTGATCACCTGATTCCTCCCTGGTAGTGAAAAGCTTTAGGGACAGAGGTGAACGTTGCGGTACTTTTTTCTTCGATATGGCAGTGTAGACCATAAAACTGTACCCACATTCAATAAGTTGATAAACCATTTGAGTGCTCTCAAGTCTTAAATCAATTTGTCTTATCTTAAAAATGGGTCATAAAGATTTCCGTGGCATTGTAAATATGTTATTCCTCTGTTTAACTACTCTTGCTGTTTTGAAGATCTAATCTGATCAAATTTGCTCAGCTTAAGTTTACAGCAGTTGGATCTCTCTGCCCTCAGTTAATTCCGACGGAAGACAACTCATCAGTACATCTTCCTTTATATTCTTTGTATGAGAAAATGCAATAAGTGCCCTTAAGATGAGGTTCACTGTCACTTTTTTTAGGCGTGTAATTTAAGGTCCTGGTTCAGGCTGCAAAGGAGGCTTTGTTCTTCTACCACAGCACTTCTAAGACGTGCAGAATGCTTCAGTTCTCCAGGACTGTGTCTGACTCGGGAAGAGAGGCGGGGCGAAGGGGCATCTTCAGTGACGTTGCCAATCTCCAAAAATATATTGAAAAGCTATTGTAGGCTTCCACTGAAAAGGAACTGAAGCTAAGAGAGGTTAAAAGTTTGTAGTTACCTTAGTAATCAAACTTAGTAAGTTCAACATCACCATGTTCCTGGCAAGGGAGGATCTGAAGTTGAAGAGGTGGAGGTTACACTTGTGTTAAAGAAACAAACCCCAAACCATCAAAACTTTGAGTGCTGGGACTGCAGAAGTCCTCAGCGTGGGACTGCTGCTCACGAGTACCATCGCTAAGGCTGCCCTTCATGGTCCGCTCCTTGCGTGATGCTGCTCTCCCTGACCCACACGGCAGCGGTTCCCTTATCGGAGCAGTTCAGTGGAAGTTAAGTGTTGGTCGTGAGAACTGCACTTGTTGCAAAACGCGGGGACGTGGCTCACCAGGAGTGCTTGCTGATGAGAATGTGTCAAACCAAGGTTGTCCTTCCAGTTGATGTTAGAGCCTTTCTATTTATTTTCTGAGTACTAGCCAGTGAAAGGTTGTCCTTCCAGTTGATGTTAGAGTCTTTATATTTATATTCCATGTACTGGCCAGTGACCTCACGCTCACCTTCAGTTCTCCGAAGCGTCTGCTCTCCAGTGCTGGAGCAGTCGGTGACAAAGGGAAGCTGATCTCCTCCGTCAGTATTCGAGGTAAACCTCTCTGACCCGGACTGTGTCTAAAGTGCTACGGACCACGTCTGTTGAAATGAGGTTCAAACACTTTCCATCATGATTTGGGTGGATGAAATAGACCTTGCGTTTGAGAGAGGGTTGTTAATTCTGTGCTTCAGCTCCTGTTCTTGGTACGGATGCTGCACAGTACAGGCTCTGGGAATAATCTAGAGTAAATGAAGGACTTGCAGCTTGACTTCTGTGCGTGTCTTCTGATTGCTCTTAAATGCATGTTGTCTAACCTGACCGGTGCTCAAAAAAGAAAATGCTGATTAATTCGCTTAGGCAGTTTCACATATTTGAAATAAAGGCTATATTAAGGTATTAACTCTTAAGACAGTAATGGGAAGCCTAGTTGATCTTAATTGCCTTATGGATTTTGTTGGGTAAAAATGTTGAAGGGAATCTGGTTTATGGACAGCTGCATCTCTTCTGCAGAACAGGTTTTGTCTAATTGTTAAAAGCAATTTCCTTTTATGCTAGTAGCAACCACCACAGTTTAATAAGAGGATCTTGCTAGAGTCTGCTGACGCTTTAAAAAAGTGACTTAGGTCATGAAAGGGATTGTGTATGCTGCTTTTCATGGTTAAGTATTGGCTGAACTTGCTGTTGGTGGTAGTAAAACCCTAACTTGCCCGAGTGGCTGCGATTGCTTGTGCTGCCGGGGACGCCTGGAGCGCCGAGCCCCGTGCCAGGCTGCAGGACTGCCTTCCAGGACCGCCCCGGTAACGCACAGGCATGCAGCCTTGTCACCAAAAGGTTTAATGACGAGCGGCTCGATGGGGGCAAAGCTGCAGCAGCCCCTGAACTTGAAGCCGGGGACGTTGGGGACAACAGGGTGATCAACAGTTCCCCAGAAGGCGGATGAGGCGGGCTTTGCTGCAGCCCTTTCATTCGGTTGCGTGGGGTCTGTGTGTGTCAGCAGAAAGGGGACGGTCGGTTCGGGATGACCACACGTGTCTAGGACAGCTGAAGAGCAGAAGCAGCAACTTGCATGCTGGTGCTGCGAAAATAATCTTCACAAAGGGTCTTCTGTCGAGATTGATTTTCTTTTTTTTAGAGCAGCTAGCGTGTGCATGCATGTTTGCAAACCAACGCTTGTGTTCTCCGCGCCGGGTCTTACGGCAATAAAATCGTTCAGTGTGTTAAAACGTTTTGTTTTCACTCGAGCTTCTGATCAGAGGCTGCTCCATCCGCAGAGGACTTCAGTTTGCTGAGAACAGCACTGAAATGCGTGCGGCTCGTAAACGGGCAAGGACCCGTGCGGCAGCTTTGAGCTCTGCTCCTGTCCCTGCGCAGTAGGGCTCCAGACAGATGGCAGACCAGGAGCAGCTCTGTTCTTGTTGAATGCTCGTGAAGGATCTTTTTAATGTTGTTCTTGGGCACTGGTGTATTTGATATCTCACAGAACCGCTTTGCTTTCCATTAGCAGCTCTGGAGCCAAGCAAGGCAATGTTTCGTTCAGCTCCCGTTTTAGTTGCCTGGCTGCAGAATGAGTTTGAAATGCTTGTCAGCAACGCGAAGGCTGTAACTCGGTGTTCGTTCCGTGTTAGCAAATACTCCGGAGGTGTAATAAATGGACTTAAAGAAAATGACCTGTTCTGATCTAAAAAGCAAGCTAGAAGCTAGATCAGAAACATTCCTAATCTAGGAAAGCTACCAGGAGGGCTGTTGGGTCTGCGCGGTGTCCCAGCTTTGTGCTCTCTCTGGTTCCAGCAGCAGGCAGCTTGCAGAAAGGCGCTGGTAACCGGAGTCTGGCCATTAAACGACTCCCCAAATTCTGCTTTGTGAATTGTACAACTTTCTGATTTTTACTGAGAAACACAAAATAGACCCATCCTGGTCTATGTTTTGCACGTGTATGGGAAGATTGGTTCCGTTCCCTATTCCAGTGAATAGTTGGGCATCTTCTGTTGAACAGAGCAAGATCAGAAGGGCTCAAGTCCAGGGTGCCCCTTGGCGTGGCCGTTGTGTGCTTCCGCTGGGTCTGCGTTCAGTAGGGGGGTCCTTCCTCGGTGGTGCCAAGGGAGACTGACTTCAAGGCAGAATATGTGTTTTGGTTGTGGAAGCTTAGCTAGGTGATGCGTCTGGTCACCACAACCCCACGCAGCGCTCCAGGCGTGGGGCAGAGGGGCTGGAAAGCTGCCTGGGGGAAAAGGAGCTGGGGGTGTTGGTCGAGAGGGGGCTGGATAGGAGCCAGCAGGGGGCCCAGGTGGCCAAGAGGGCCAGCGGCATCCTGGCTTGTACAGGAGGAATTTCTTGTACTTCAGCCTACTTAGTGAAATCTATTTGTTGACTCATGCAAGAAAATCAGGTGATTGCATTCTCTCAACTGTGCTGAATTTTGAGCCAGGTGTTAAAGCAGCTTGACCCAATATGCGAAATGGAACAATAACACCAGTAGCACCGTGCTCTTAGGAAAAAGCCGACAATCTTCCCTTGGGCCAACGCATTCCGTGAGAAAAAATTACGTACCTGTTAAAAGGAACATAAAATTACAGATCTTCCTGCTCTCCGCTGCCTAGCCCTTCTACTGGATTAAGTTCTTTAAAATTCTGTATTGCACGGGTGCCTTGAAGAAGCGGAAGGTGCCCAGGGAAGGTGTCGAGTCCCCAGCCCTGGGGGGATTTAACAGCCGGGCAGAGGCGGTGCTGAGGGCCAGGGTTTGGGGGTGGGATGGCAGGGGTAGGGGAGCAGTTGGGCTGGGGGAGCTTAAAGGGCTTTGCCAACCCAAACCATTCTGGGATTCGATTCTATGATCTGTCTTGTTTTGTCATTTCAGTGTGTGTTTAGAACAGCTTTCTCCAGACAGATATATTTTTATGTGTATAAGAGAGGGAGAACATAGGATATGCTGTGCGTTGGTGCTCTGCGAATCATGCTTAAGGTAGATTCTGGGTTCTAGCATTTGTCTGGTTCTGGCCTGACCTGAGCTCTCCGGTTGTCTTCCATTTCCAAGATGACTTTGATGATAGCTTGCTTCTTCCGAGCACGTACAAACATCCTGACCAGAGATACTGGTAAAAGAGCAAAGATGATTCCAAACTAACATTTGTCAGAAAAACTGTACCTTTCTGTGTAGGAAACAGTCCTGCCACTTCAGTAACCTTGTCGAGAACAGACTTGGTGGGACTCGGAGCTTTTCAGTCTCCTCATGCTGCTGTTGGAATTCCCAGTACCTGTTTACGTGACTCAGCTGCACTCTGCTAAAACTGGTATTGAAGCACTGAGGTGGATTTAGTATTTTAGGGCAGATCCACACAGTCACCGTTTCAGATCTTGACCAACAACTTTTTGTTGCGGAGGAGGGACGCGAAGGGAGAGCTTTAGGAGTGGGTATGGAGCCTGGCATTCAGATGTTCATTGCTAATGATTTGGTTTAGTCTGCTTAGTACAGATGAAGACCTTAACTGATGGCTAAGATTTTGGGTTTAATTTACTGCGAAATGGAGGCTCAAAGAGCAGTTGGGATTTCTGGTTTCAGCTATGCAAGGAATTTTTTTGCAAGCTGCTCACGTAAGGAAGGGCTCAGAGCTTTCAGGTGTGTCAGGTTCTGCTTGCAGCCATGAGGAATTCTACTCAAACCAAAGTCACTTAATCTTCTCGCAATATTCTTGAAGGAGAACGCAAAACTCGAAGTGATTCATCTGAAAATTAAACTGTGCATTTGATAAGTTCTATGTCTAAACCTCAGCTAACAAGCATGTGTTAATGTAAAATAATTCCGTAAAAGTCAATGTCACTGTGTTTTCGCTTTTCTTTCTGCTTCTAGGCAAAGTGCTTCATGGATTTCAAAGCTGGAGGTACATTATGTCACATTCTTGGTGCTGCTTACAAATATAAGAATGAACAGGGCTGGTAAGTTTTTACTTTTGGTTTATACACCTTTTGCATGAGATTAAGCACACGAAATGCCTGTGCAGACTGCCTAAAGTTTAATACTTTCTGGAGAATTCAGTAGGCAAGGGAGTTGGAGATGGGAAGAGGAATTTTTTTTCCTGTTTTGCTGATGGTAGCTTCTTTAAGACACCCCCCCCACTTCCAAATTTAAAGAGAAGTTGTCCAAGTTCAAGGTTTTGCTCCTGTAGGTTGGGAGTTAATTACGAGCTTGAGGGTTTTTTTTTGCCATTTGTTTGCTATATGACTGAGCAAATGAACCCGTATCCTAGAATCGCTGTTCCTGTCTATAAGATGTGAACCTTTGGTACTGTACTGAGTATAGGGTTTAGTTGTAACTGGGAAAACATGATGCGTTCCATAGATACTAATAAATGCTAAGTTTTCCACTGCTTATCAACCTCCGTAAATGGGGAGGGTCAGCAGTTAGAAAGATGCTCGTGTAGCTGTTGATGCCACTATTAAAACTATTTCTGTGACATCCCCGTAGTGTTGTGGCCCCTGTGTTTTTCAAAGTTACAATTTTCTTTCTGAGACAGCAGTAGCATGAATTAACTGTATTGGAGAACATCGGAAAAAAGCCTGAGGATGAAAAGTCGGTAGATAAGAGTCAGCAGAGCTTGTTCTTGTACGTGAGTTCAAACAGCTTCTGATCTGATGTTGTGCAGGCCTGGAACAGCAGCGTTCCTGGAACTGACTGCATCTGTTACCCACAAGAGCAAATGAAAAGGCAAAAATAAAGTTGTTTCGGTAGGGTTTGTTATTTTTAGGAGTCGTTTATACTCCTATCAGCTGAATGAATATCAGAAAGCTGGTATGGGTAAACTGCTGTCAGTTTTTCTACTTCAGTGTTGCCAACACCCCGGGCATGATGCGTGTCCGTCGTGTTCTGTGTGGCCTTTCGGGAGTGTCTTGCTACCTCTTTGCCGTAAGGTAAAGGAGTTAAACGGCTCCTACTTCATGAATATTTAAACACTGCAATTTTTTCCAAACAAATTTAGTTTTCAGTCACTGAGATTTGTCAGCAAAACTCAAGATGTGGTTGCCTCTTCTCTTCTCACTCTCTTGCTGATTCCTCAAAACTAGCGTGGGTAGTGCCTTGTGTTTGTGCATGTGGGATGTAGAGGGAAGTAATACTTGAATTTAACTGAGGATCAGACTTAGAGCTTGGAATGTATCCTTCACTGACTCAACCAAATAATACGTGGTGTTTTGCCTGAAATACGATGATTTATTTGTTTTAATGGTATGCATTGTCGCTCTTGCTTAACCTGTTTGTGAATGATCTGTCTTATAGGAGAAGTACCTTTCCTCGTCATAATAGGTATGTCTGAAAAATGCACTTACCCAGTGCAGCTGGACATACCTTGTCTATCACTGCCATTCAAGTAGCTGTTTGCTAAAGCCTCTCAGGGGGTACCACTTAAACTGAGGGCAGGAAGAATTAGTCCTACTTTATCTAAATGGGCAACTAAAAAAGAAAACCAAAGTGCTACCTCTTAATATATTGACATACTTCTCTGCAAGTATGGGTTTCAAAAGCAGACAAAAAATTGGGGGCATGTATAGCATTAAATGAATAACGTAACGCAGATTTTAGGCAACCAAATGTAAAAGATGTTGGTCAAACTTGAATGCCTTAAGTATCTTTGGTTCAAGGGTACTGAGGGCTTTTATTAGGTGTCTAGGAAAATAGTCGGTGTTTATTTGGCATTTACCTTCCTTCACTTCCTTGCAACTATTACGTTTGAGAAGCGTATGTTTTGAATACGGACCACAAAGCTGCCAACGGGTAAATACTGGAGAAGTGACTTGATTTTGGCTCTTAAGATCCTATGTATTATAGATGTGAAATACATTACTGAGTTGTGCAGTGAACTGGCAGTCTCCTTGATGACTGGCCCGACTTGTAGAAGTCAACGTAAACTCACCACACACAACGCTATTCAAAGCGGTCATAAAATTCTTTTCAAATTGAACGACTACTCTAAGAAATGTGCCAGGATAATATCTTTTTAAGTTGTTTGCCAGGTCCTTAGCATGAGGGGAAGAGGCCCTAATACTGCGTTAGGAGAGGAGCCATCGCTCACTAAGAGTGAACGCTTCTTGTGCTGCCTGACTCTACGGCGCGTTCACGCGGTCCCGCCTGCACAGGCAACTTCTTTTTACAAATGCTAGAGAGCCTCAAGTGAAGAAAAACACGGAGGTCTCAGCTGAAATGTCTTTGTTTAATTTAGTAGTGTAATATCGATGTGTTGCCATCTCGTGTGGTAATGGGGTTTGTGACTAAAAATCAATCTGGCCTTGGTTTCCCGTCATTGTGTGTTCATAAACGTGAAAAATTGATGTGTTCCTGGAAACAAGCGTGTGTTTAAAAGAAGCTGTCGTTAGATATGGGCACAGGAATAAATTCTTGTATTTTAAGTTGGGGTGTTAATTGCCACGCAGTGACGGATATGCTTTATGTGCATGGCTTTTTCACCGTGTTAAGTGTACGGGGTACTTTTTATTTTATATACGGAAATCCCTTCTGCCAGGACTGCTGCTCCCCAGCACCAACTCGGCACTCCGGTTAAGAGCGTTTTCGGACTCTAGCAACAGCTTTTTCCAAAACTTGGGAGGTACAGAAGTGCACCGGACAGTGTTTTACACCTGAGAGTCAACAACCTGATTATCTGAACGTACCGTTGTGCTTTGGGAAAGGCTGAATTGTTAAGGGTCAGGCCCAAATCTCTTTCAGAGGCTCCTACAGCGCTGCTTGCCCTGGCTGGCAGTGACGGGCCTGTGGGGTAGCGCTAGCGCCGGCACCCACGGTGCTGAACGCGGCGAGGGACGGGTGTTAGTGCTGTTACCGTCCCTCCCTCGGGTCCTTGGGGGTCACCATTCAAATTCTTCATTTGAGTTGACTCATCTGTGCCTTCTGAATATGTGTACAGTTCAGGTGGGTACAGCAGAATGCCCTTGGCTCTTCCCAATCGAAAGTCGCAGATTTTGGGTTTTCCCCCTCATTTCGGATAGACGCTCAAACCTGCATTGTTCTTTCAAGAATTCTGATTACTTTGGCAATGAAGCAGCAAACTTTAAAGTATATACAGAATATAGAGAGATGTAAACAGATGGAATAGAGAGAGATGTATCAAGTATATACGGAAGTATATAGAGATGGTTATAAAATGCTCACATGGATTATGAGCTACCTATATGCTGGGGGTGGGGTTGGGTGGTGGCTTGTTCTCCAAGAGATAAATAGTTTAGAAAATCTCAGGCAAATGAATTGCTGTGTTTTTCCTGGATTAGAATCTGGGACTGGTGGATGGCGCAGCTTAGAAGTAAGAGAAACGGGAGAGCTTGTTGGTGAATTTTCTCCTCTAGTTGTTGGAATCCCTCGTGAGCGTTTGATGACGTTTCTGTTCAATGATCCGTTGTGACTGTGGTGGAATGCACAGCCCTGCTGCGGGGCTTTGTTGGACAATGTCAACATTCATTTTTCTTAAACATTTCACAAATCGGCTGCATTACGTTTTATTTGGTTCATTGTGATTTTTCTTGCTTGTGAGGGCTGCCAGGTGGAGCAAAAATATTTGTGATTGTGCTTCAAGTGTTCTTATGTAGCTGCCATGATAGACTGGGTTTTTATGTGGAACGTGAAAGATGCTTGACTACTGAATGGAGGAGAGTTGAACTTCACACTTTTGAATAATTTTCCTTAACAGGCGGAGGTTTGACCTGCAGAATCCATCCCGAATGGACCGAAATGTGGAGATGTTCATGAACATTGAGAAAACACTAGTGCAGGCAAGAAACTCTTATACGAAATCATGTGTTCGTGTGCTCAGGGGCAGGGACTCACCAGGCTTCTGTGTACCTCAGCTGTGACCCACTCAAGAGTTCCATCCTGGACTTCTGTAGGAATACGATCCCCCTCCCTCCCTCTCCCACCCGTTTTAGTCACAATTCCGTGTTATTACTTGAAAACGTCAGAATTTTTTCATCGGTATTCTGTGGATATGCATAGGGTGAGAAAAACGTGTTTGTAAGGTAGGAGAAAGCATCCCGAGTGTCGCTGTCTTCCTGTGGAAGAAGCAGCCATAGGATCGAGTAACCACCTCTGTATCCATCCGTGCAATTGCGGACTTTTGGGGGACTTTCAGCTTGAGACGAGTTTGCCTTTTTTCAGGGTTAGGGTACACTGTAGACTCTCTCGCTTGCTTTATCAAACAAGATACTGCCAGAAGAGAGCAGAAAACAACTGTATGGAATTGAATTTGAAGTTAATTTTTCTTAACTGCTGTGTATGAATACCAGAATATTTCTTTCAAACTCTAAAAGCTCAGTGTGTAATACAGTCAATAACCTCCAGGTGCTTGTCAAAAATGGAAATAGGAGGGACAGCAAAAAGAAACCGTACACTCATTATAAAAAAACCTGTTGCCATTGTGTGGTGGTTTCAGTGCTTAGAGTCCATGTTAAAATCCAAAATAAAACAAGCGTGTACCTGCAGATATCCTAGAAACGCGTGAGTCTGCGTGTTGGTGCAACAGGACAGGTTCAGAGTTGGAAGTTGACACAAGCAAAGTCTTCCAGAGCCTGTCAAAAATTCTTTGAAATCAAATCCATGGTTTCCATGACAGATGTTGTGCGAGTGGGATCGTTGGGTCGCGTTCCCTTTATCCGTGCTAACGTCTCTGTCGGAGCTAACAGCAGATTGGCAGGGACCAGAAGAAAACCCAGGATAAGACTTTGGCGGGGAGGTGTGCAGAGGAAACGTCGCTGTTGTAGGGGTTTCTGGAGCTAGTGTGTCATATCACAAGCCGATACGTGTTCCTTTGGAGCCTTTTCAAGCATTGGTGATCTTAATAAGAATTTCTCTGTCACAGGTGCCCTGCTAATTTCTTATTTAACTTCTTCTCTCCACTAGAACAATTGTCTGAGCAGACCGACCATCTACCTCATTCCAGATATAGAATTGAAGTTGGCTAATAAATTGAAGGATATTGTCAAACGTCACCAGGTAACTGTTAAATAGCATATCTTAAAACAAATGTTTTGTCGGTTGTACGATAAAACATATTTGCCTGACTACTAGATAGTGGTTACCCCCGGACTGTGGCTGACAACACAGGGCAGCAGCAAGTCACTTAAAACCAGAAGTTCACTGTTTGTAAAATGCCGTTAGTAGTTACCCTCGCGTGGAGACTGACTCATAACTCTGTTCTAAAAGCAAATCTGAAATCTCTATTGAAGTGAAAAGTAGTTATGGTGTCTCAGTGAGTTGGCTGCGAGCCCTAGCTATTTCCTGTTGGACACCTGGTTGTATAAAGCAGAAGCTCGCTGTTTGTCCACATCTGAGACCAAGGAAGGTAGCGTGTGATACAGCTGTCCTGGATATGCGGGGACGGCATAAGGAAGCGTTAATCTTAAAATGATTGCTACTTTTTTTGCCTTTTTTTAACTGGCTTTTTTCTTGCCTGTGAACAGAACCGAGTCTCTTGGTTATTAGGTAGTCAGCGTGTTTCCAGGAGAGTCAACATCTCGCCATTGTAATTTAATATACTCAACGATGAACTGAACAGGATAAATAGCTTCATCTCTCAAAAATGTAAACAGTCCTTTCACTTGTCTTGAGAAGTATCCTGGAATGTGAACTCTAGATGGTCCGATAGCCTTTTGTGCTAGGATAATTCACGGCTGTAGCCAAAGTAAACTGTTTCCTTTCCAGATCAAATGTATTTCCTGTGTTGTGATTATGAACCATCGTCTCGACTTCAGTTGTGTAATTTTTCACAAGTTCCTCTTAATTGTTCAGCTGATTCAGGATGTTTGTGGTTGTTTAAATTGGAGTTAATGATTCAATTTTCCTTTCATAAAGGAATTCTGTAGTGAACTCGGAGCATGCTGTATCCATGAATGATTTGAGGGACTTTTAAAGCAGGCAGCTTTGTCTCTAAAGGGACGTGAAGAGCTGAAAACAGAAATAGTCCCCAATTCTGCTTTTTGGGCTTTCTTCCTTTGTCCCACCTCTGAATGCTCATCTTGTGTTTGCATTGCTACCTGTGCTTGCTCACTGTCTTGATTTTTTTTATTATTTTTTTTTTTTAAATTTTATTTTACCTGTTGTTGCCATCTTCCCTCTACCCCATCCCTAGTGCCTGTGGCGTTCCCAAGTCCTCGCTGCTCTGCCCGCAGCCTGTGCAGAAGAGTTGCACCTCTCTTGCCCCAGCGCAGCGCTAGCGTGCTCTCTGGGCTTACAAAGAGAGGTGTCAGTAAGATGTGTGTTCTCTCTGCTGCTGAAGATGCTGTTGCTGTTTCTGGTAGTCACGCTTCTTCTGATGTTCTTTATAAACGTTGAGGATTCCTCTGAGAAGAGCCAGAGTAATTTAGGAACTTGAAAGCAGGTAATGAGTGAGATTTAGCATTTATATCTGCTTCAAGCAAAGTGTTTTGTCGGTAGGTGACTCCTTCCATCTCGTTACCTCTTTAGCTTCCATTCACATTTGGTTTAGCGGAGGCAGGGAATAAGCCTTACAATCTGCTTACATCTTTCGGAACACTGTTTTAATGTAAAGTTATCCCTTTGTTTTCAGCCAAGATAGCATCTAAAAGAGACTTCCTCTTCATCTGTCATGTCTTGGGTTTTTTAAAGCTCCGTGGGAAATAGATGAAACTTGCTGATCTGATTCCCAGAGCTCAGAGTAGATACAAAGAGCATCTTTAGCTCACGGCAAACGAAGGGAGAATTTCCGTTATCGTTCCTTAAACACTTTGCATGTTCTTCTTCATGCCAGGGCTTTTTCCTTTCCCTCTGAATGCTTTTAAATTCTTACTTTCCTCCTTGCTTTTTTGCTGTTGCTGAGAGCACCTCCTCTCCCTTTAGCCGCTTCTCTGAACTCTTGTTGGTGTAGGAACTCTTGCCCTTCGGCCCCTGATTCCAGAGTGGTCTCCAACTGTTGCTACCATAATGCAACGCGTCTTCATGCCTTTTTTAATTTTCCTCCTTTTGATGCTGTCCTCTAGATAAGCTGTTCACATATTGTTGGCTGTAACCTATCCCACGTGCTCTTAAGTCCTTTAAATAAATCTGTCAAGTATTTCTGGAATGTAAATTTTGAGTAACATTTTCCTGCAAACTGTTCCAAAATGTAATTCCTCTGCGTAAGAGCCTGCGGTCTGTGAATCTCTGCTGTCCTTGGAAATGACTCTTCGTATATGGAGGTGTCTCTGAAGATGTGGGAGAATCCTTATGGCCCTCCACATAGGGGAGGGACAGGGTTTTCTTCACTGGCCACGCTAAGCAGTGTTATATATTTATTTAACAGATACCTAATTACGTAGTAGAATTATTTTGCATGATGGGGTAGGTCCAATAGGAATATAATTGTGGCCTGTACCCATATGTAGAGAAATTGCTTTGTTTGTGGCATCTAGGTAAGCATGAGAAGAATATCTGTTGCTTCTCATATATCAAAAACATGATGTCCTAAACCAGCAAGAAGAAAGTGTTCTCATGTTTGTATATTTTGACAAACAGTGGTATCATGGTAGTGTATTTCTGGTTTATTCCCTTTGTTCTATGATTTAAGAGGCTTTTTTTGAAAGAACATGTGTTTATTCTGTCTCTTGACCTAGAGTATTCCTTGACTACTAAGGATGTTCTATGCAAGGCAGCCATTTCTAGTTAAGTTTCTTGTAGACTTTGTCATATGTAAATTGTCATATCTAGAAATTGTTTTGGACCAAAGCGTGTGCTTAATGGAAAACATTTACAGATGCTTTCTTACCAAATACTCACCAATAGGTTTGTATGAACTGGCAGTTGAACAGCTTACAATGAGAATTGGGGCAGAAGGAACTAGAAGGAGGAAGGATTTGAGGAATAAAGAGCAAGATGTGACAAAGTAGTTTGGCAGCAGCCGTAAGATAATTGCCTTTCCCTGGCACTCCATAGAGGGGGTGTTCTCCATAGCTGCACTGAAGTGAGCCTTGAATATTTCTAGGTTGCATGGGATGTGGATAAAAAGAAGCAGCCGAGAAGTTTGGGGGAATGTGGTGAAGGTTTCTCATTGCAGTTTCTTCTTTTCTCCCACCTTTCCCGCAGGGAACAGTAACTGAAGAGAAATCAAAGGCTACCCACCATGTTTATCCAAGTCCTACCTCAATGGATGACGGTAAAGTTGCTTTCCACTTTTTAAGTGACAATAGTCTCGTAACTAAATTCTGTTAGCAGTTTTGGGAGCTTTCGCACAGACACAGCCTGGCCCTAGCCTGCTCCTGAGAGCCGCTTGAAAAGTATTTCTGGTGTTAACAGCTCCAGATAAAATCAGTGCATCCTGCTTCTTAACTGTTGGGTGTAACATCCACATTTGTAATTGATGTGACCTTTTCAGATTGAGCTGTGCTAACACTGAATACTCTTCCGTGATTGCATTGGAAATGGAGATGATATTTATTGCTGAGCGCAGGGAGACATTTTGTTTGTCTCAAATCACTTGCAAGCTGAAGGGGAGCAAAGCTGAGGGTCTGGAAGAACTTAAAAAAAGAAACTAAGTCAGTTTAAAAATGAAAAGGAAGGCTAGTGAAAGCAGGGGGCTTAAAACTAAAGCTTCCATTAACTTTTTTTTGCTTCCTTGATGTCCCCTGGTGTGTACGTATAGGTCAATGTTGAGCGAAACTTTATTAGGAATCAGGTAGATGTCGGCAGGGTAGCATAGACACTAAGGGAAATGAGACTCAAAAAACGTGCTGCCGTGTTCTCGTCTGTCCAGGCGGCAGGCTGGGAATGCTGATACGTATCATTGTGTGTGGTTTGGCAAGGTGGACACAATAGAAAGTAGATAAATAAATAAATTGAGATTGGCTTTGTTATGACGTGGTCTGCCTCGATACGAAGGACATAGGCTCCACACAAGCAGTTGAACAGCTGTATCCATCAGCAAATAAATTAATAAATATCTTGGGCTTTTTCATCTTAAATACATTTCATTGTCTGGTGCTTCATTGCTGTCAAGTCTGAGCTTCACTGACATCAATCAGCTTTTTCTCACGCGCCCTGGCATCTGACGGCCACTAGATGGAAGTGTTCTCTTCTGTATAGGAATGGCCATGGGTGGTTTGTCCTCTGGTGCTTGTCTGTGGTCTGTACTGCGGGTAATATCGTGCCTAGCCGCAGGTTTGTGTTTATGCTCTTGGAAGAGGGTTGAGCGTAGCAGGTCCCATCTCTCTTGTCGTCAGTGACCGTGCAGATGTGCTGGGCAGAGCTCTCTTCCCCCCTGAGAGGAGAAAACAGCCATGAATTCAAGCAGTGTAACTTCATACAGCTTGAAACCCTCAGCGTTTCTCCTTTAATCCTGCTCTGGGCCATCTTCTCGATATCAGAGGTGTAGTTTAGAAGAAAGAACCGTTTAAGACCCCAGTCAGACTGAGCGTATGCCACATTGCAAAACCAGCCAGGTATCAGTCTTGCTCAGGAAGCCTGTATTACCTTGAAGTCGTCGTTAACACCACTGTGAAAGAAGGGAGTTGAAATGCAGGTTTCGTTAGACTCTTGGAAGTCCTTTTTTATTAAAATCTGTTTCACCACCACCCCCTGCCCTGACATTCTGCCTTGAAAATTTTATTCCTTCAAAACTCTATTGTTTTGTTAAATACCTGTTGAGAGTAGAATGTAGTTCTGGGAAGAGGGTCTTCTGAAGTAAGTGTGAATGAGGGGATTCAGACATCTAGCAACCATACAGAAAGACAGAGGGGAAACACTTACCGCTGGACAAGAAAGCATTTGGGGAGAAATTTAGTCTTTTTGGTTATACAGAGATTAAAAAACCAAGTGACAGATCGGAGCGTGTCTCTCTCGCCCTGTTTTTTCTGCTGTCTTTACCGATGGGTGGACTGTTCGGTGGATAAGGAACTGGCTGGATGGTCACATCCAGAGGGTAGTGGTCAATGGCTCGATGTCCGTATGGAGAACGGTGACGAGTGGTGTCCCTCAGGGGTCCGTACTGGGACCAGTGCTGTTTAAGGTTTTCATCAAAGACTTAGACAGCGAGATCGAGGTCCCCCTCAGCAAGTTTGCGGATGATACCAAGCTGAGTGGTGCGGTTGACACACCAGAAGGAAGGGATGTCATCCAGAGAGACCTGGACAGGCTAGAGAGGTGGGCCTGTGTGAACCTCATGAGGTTCAACAAGGCCAAGTGCAAGGTCCTGCACCTGGGTTGGGGTAACCCCCAGTATCAATACAGGCTGGGGGAAGAAAGGATCGAGAGCAGCCCTGCCCAGAGGGACTTGGGGGTACTGATGGATGAAAAGCTGGCCATGAGCCGGCAATGTGCGCTGGCAGCCCAGAAGCCAACCCTACTTTGGAACGGGTCCAGAGGAGGGCTACAAAAATGATCCGAGGGCTGGAGCACCTCTCCTATGAGGACAGGCTGAGAGAGTTGGGCTTGTTCAGTCTGGAGAAAAGAAGGCTACGGGGAGACCTGATTGCGGCCTTCCAGTACCTAAAGGGGGCCTATAGGAAAGATGGGGAACGTCTTTTTAGTAGGGCCAGCTGTGTTAGGACAAGGGGAAATGGTTTTAAACTAGAACAGGGTAGGTTCAGGCTAGAGGTAAGGAAGAAATTTTTTACAATGAGGGTGGTGAAACACTGGAACAGGTTGCCCAGAGAGGTAGTGGAGGCCCCATCCCTGGGAACATTCAAGGCCAGGTTGGACGGGGCTCTGAGCAATCTGATCTAGTTAGCAGTGTCCCTGCTCACTGCAGGGGGCTTGGACTAGATGACCACTAGTGGTCCCTTCCAACCCTAAACATTCTATGATTCTATGAACGTCCTTTTGGAGAATTTGTTCTGTCCCATTCTGAGTTCCAAGCCCAACTGGCCAAGGTGTTTGGGAGATAAGACAGGACAGGATGAGCTGGCAGGGGATAGTGCTTCCGCCAGCCAGCCAGAAATGCTTCTTGCTACTGTTGAGAAACAGATGGGCAGCTTCAGGCCTTGTTGGGTCTCAATCTGGAGTGTGTTAGGGTATGAATGTATGTGACCAGGCAAGGAAATGTAATAATCCTTAATATGATTTTACTAAGGTAACATCTGTGTCGTATGCAGGCGGAGCATACGCATGCTCAGACCTGGCAAAGGTAACGTGGGCACGTGTGTTACTGTGGCGGGCCAGGCCATTTTAATTTCACTACAGCAGACTTTTATCAGAGATGATTGCCGTAACTTTACTGTGACTGACTATGGAAAAGCAAAATAGCGTTCCATGTGCTTTACAATCTGATGTTCCATCTCTTTCCCCTTTGCAGATGAATGGTTGAGACCTGTGATGAAAAAAGACAAGCAGGTGCTGGTACACTGGGGCTTTTTTCCAGACAGGTAAAGAAAGGTGGGGGAAGAAAGCACACCCCAAATCTTACTTAAGTTTGTTGAAGGAAAAGGGTCGATTAAAGAACACAAGTGGGAAAATCCATGTCCTCAAACAAGCTGCTCCTTCAGCTTACCGAGTCTTGCATCTCCTTAATAGCAGTGCTCTGTGGTTATCAGTAGTGAACCTGCGTGGGCAATGTCCCAGCTGTGTGGGCTACAACTGTGCCCTTCTTCTGCAGACCTATCTCACGCTGGCTCTTCTAAAACTCTAACCCGAATATTCAGTACTGCATTGCTGCTCTTTGATTCTGAATCGTTGTACGTCGCTGTTCATGCTATGAGCCACGCAGTGGTTGTCTTACGGGGTATAACCACGCGGTAATTTAGCGTTGCTACCATTTGTCTCAACGTCCAAGGCTTGACAAGACTTAACTGGTGGTTTGAAACCGAAATATGTGTCCCCAGTTGTGATAGCGGCAGGTGGGTAAGGTTAGAAAAGGGGAGTCTGTCCTTCTGCAGAGCCACTAGTAAGGCTGCAGACTGAACCAGGCTTTGAAAGGGCGGAGTGAGCCTTTCCGTGGAGTTAGTCAGACTTTCAAGCCAAAAGGGAGAACTTCTGATCGCCTGATGGTTGAACTTCCACTCCATGGGTTGCCTTTACTCAAGGGCCAGTGACTGTTGAAAGCAGCTTGTATTTGAGAAAGCTGTCGTGTTGTTAGGAGATGTTAGAAGATAGTGCATGTATTTAAATAACTTTTTCAGGGTACTAAAATCTGCTCTGCTGTGCATGCACAGAATTTTCAGGAACTGCATGCGTATTTGAGTGGAAGAGAGCAAACACCAATCACATGGAAGTTTCTTTCTTCATACAGATGAAGAACCTTTAAATATTTTTATATTTGTCATATCAGTAGTCAAGTTTGTGTTGACTCTGTGTGTGTATATGTATTTATAAATATCAGTATAAACATGAGGAACGCTATATACGCATCTTTTCTTGCATATGACTTAACCCCATTGCTCAGTACATGCCGTGTGTTGATCACAAAGTATTTTGGCTTTGCTGTTACTGAGTGCAGTTTCTTAGTATTTATAAATAGGCTTTTTGAGGGAATAGCAGGTGGAAAAGAGTGAGTAATAAATGGGTTCTACAGCAGCAGGGGTTGAAGCAGAGGATGCATGCTCCTTCCTTCTAGGAATGCAGTATCTCCTGCTTTAAACTCATAAGAACAGAAACAAGTTAATTAATGTAATGCCAGGGTTTGAACAAGTGACTCAGAAACTGTATTTATACCCCTGAATCTAGAGAGCAGATTTGCAATTTTAAGCTGGAGCTGGCTTCACTGAGATGGCTTTTAAATTCAGAAAGTTAAGAACGTGCATTAGATGCCTTGGACCCCTGCCTTTTCAGTGTGTGCTATTCCTGTAGCAGAAACCAGTGATTATTGCTTTAACTTCTCATTGCATGGAAAAATCCTTTACTATTCTATCTCAGCAATGTGATTTGCACGTCAGGATTGCTGCAAAAAAAATCCTGCTGGTGATTTTCTGGATGAACAGCCCAGGGGACCAATTTTGTTTTCTCTTGACTCTTCTCATTAGCTATGACACTTGGGTTCATGCCAATGAAATAGATGCTGAAATTGAGGATCCTCCAATTCCTGAAAAGCCATGGAAGGTAAGTCTGCAAAAGTTACTGTATTGGTATAGCTCGTGCTCGGGTGCTGCTAGACCATAGAATGGTTTGGGTGGGCAAAGCCCTTTCAGCTCCCCCAGCCCAACCGTTCCCCTACCCCTGCCATCCCACC